ACAAGTCTATATGATCAACTAAGCCGATCATCAGGTGTGTATTATAATTTGGCAGTGTTGTTTACAGTCCTAATAATATACATAAAAAAATTTCTCAACTCTGATTGGCTAAGAGCAGTGTAATTTTTTTGAAATATAAAAGTGCAAAAAAATGAAAAACAGTGCACATTTCATTTATAAGATAAATAGAATAAACCCATGCAATATTTACAAGGGACAAAAATAGCTGCTTCTATTAAGATTATTTATATTAAAATTTCACATGTGACTGCATAATTTTTTAATGATGTTGGAAAGTGCATGCATTTTAGAAGTATTAACATTAAGTAATATATGTATAGTTACCGCTGTTCAGTAAGACTGTGGTAAAAAACAACAATATTGTGCGTATGTTTATAACAAACAACTGAAGCAAGATATTTAGTGAAATTTCTTTTGTATTCTTGGTGTAAAAGTCATAAAAACTGTTATATCTAAACATTGTGAGTTATTGTCGGATAACAAGCAAAAATTCCCGACAATGATATTAATAAGTAATAATATGGCTTCTCGGGCAACTTCTGCTTGTGAGTTTTTCAAAGACTTTAAATTGCACTCCTTGATCTTCTTTGAATTTTTTTTATTTGTCACTATTACTACTATTCTATTTACAAAAGGTGGATTAAACGGAAAAAAATAAATAAAAGAATCTCGATTATAAATAGATAAGTAAGGTGATAATGACAAGAAGGCATCCAGAAACCATAAGGCTTGCAAAGGGATGTCTCCTTGAGCATAAAATTTAGATTTACGTATAACACTGCCAACCCCAAGAAGGGAATCCAATCCGATTTACCTCCAAAGACCATCAATAAACATGAAAATAAATTTATAGTTCATGCAGGTATTTCAGCGTTTTATTCCTGAAGCAATTTGATATCTCGGCATTTCTAACTTTATCTGGGAGAGAACACCAGAGTTTAGGACCTTGGTAAAGTATGGTGAACTGTTTTATGTTAGTTCTACAAACATGTGATTGATATTGACTAGCGTTTCTTGTGTTGTATTGATGACTTTGATTACTAGTAATAAATAAGTTGTGGAAAGATGAAGGTAGTAGTTTGTTAGGATAGGAATACATGAATTTTCCAACATATAATGAGTTAATCTTATGAATGTCAAGCACATTCAGTTCGATAAAAAGCGGAGCAGTATGCTCTTAAAAATCTGAATTTGTCATCAGTCTGACAATTCGTTTCTGTAATACGAGTACACGCTTTAAATTTGAAAGGTATGTGGATGACCAAATAATATTTCAGTAAGTAAGATATGGATAAATTAAGATGTAGTGTAAAGACAATTTAGTACTCGCAGACAAATTGAAACGAGCTTGGTAGACGATACCAATGGCGTTAGATATCTTTTTGCAAATATGACCCATATGTGGTTTCCAAGAAAGATTTTCATCTAGGAGGACCCCAAGAAAATTAACCTGTTTCTTCCGAGCAAGCAATGTACCATCAATTAAAATAGGGTATGTCATATGAAGTTTTCTTTTGCTTGGTTTGAAAAATAATATGATACGTTTTATCAATATTAATAGATAGCTTATTAGCCCGCATCCATAAACCTATATTATGTAACGCTTTATTTAGAACTGTGGTTAGTAGCAGAGGATCAGAGTGAGAGTAACATATACTGGTATCGTCAGCAAATAGTAAAGGTTCAGCTAAATGTGATGCGTTCAGAAGGTCATTTATGTAGAGCATGAAGAGCAGTGGGCCTAAAATTGAACTTTGAGGCACACCGCACTTGATGACTTGTTCATTGGAAGAAACATTCTTATAACTAACAAATTGTTTTCAATTATTAAATGCAATGCCACTCCACGTATGCCACAATGCTCAAGCTTGCTGAATAGTATATCATGATTTAAAGTATTGAATGCTTTAGAAAGATGTAAGAAAACACCCGCCATGATTTCATGTTGATCAATGGCAGTAGCAATTTTGTTAGTCAGTGCAAGATTTGTTGAATTATTAGAGCGGAAACCAAACTGGTGACAATATAAGATTTCAAATTTGTTTAAATTCTAGCAAACGGTTGTACATGATTCTTTCAAAAAATTTAGAAAAACCTGATAAAATTGAAATGGGTCTGTAGTTAGTAAATATATCTAAATCACCAGATTTGTGGACAGGAATGATTTTGGCAATTTCTAGTTTGTCTGTAAATGCTCCTTTTTCTAGAGACAGATTAATCACATGCGTCAATGGCTCTGCTACAAGATCAAATGAATTTTTTATGAGATGCATTGGAATATGATCATAGCCAGGTGCTTTTCTGTTGTTAAAAGTCAAGCAAATCTCTCTTAGTTCATGCCTGGAAGTCGGTTTAACTCTTTCTCAACAACCGGTTTCGTATTACATTTCGATTCAATTTTTCTAATACAAATATCTCGGCGAGTATTTACCCCCCTTTTAAATGGTCAAGTGCCGTCAAAACATTACACAAACCAAAACAATCATATATTTATCCTCACGGCTTCGCCAAATATTCAAACGGGAAAAAGAGAAAAAGTTGAATATATTCTAAAATTTGGCGTCATTTTCTGAAAGGATATATGTGCAAAATACTCTTTGTATTCAAGCGCTTTAGTGTAGAAAGTTTCGTATGAATACGGCAAGTAGAAATATTTATTTTGAATTTTTCAAGGTATCGGGTTTTACTCGCACACACTTGTATTACGTAATACTTGGCCAATAAGGAGCTCCCTTTAGCCGGGATGACGTCAAACTCACGCGTATGGGTGCACTTTGACCTGTAGAGTCCATTTCTGGCATTTCCAGAGTCACGCGATACAAACTACGCATTGTTTTGACGGTTTTTCGTCATTGGGATTAATGCAAATTCGGGCAGAAATGCAAAATTCGGCAAGAAAACTCAGTTTTAAAGATAGAAGCTTGAAAATAAGACTATACGTGTTATTTTTAACTGCTTCATTGATCAAGAATACAAGAATGAGCATACGTCTCAAGGGGCCGAAGTTATGTTCGGCGAAAGGTATGTCTATGTGTATAATTTGTTAGTAATATTGCGTAATTTGATCATATATAAGCCCGTTTGACTTTCAAAGCTTATAAATCGCTACAATGTAGCCAGTGACTAAAACTATCGTTATAAATTAGTATATATTTTTATACTGAATCGAATGGTGGTATTTTCATCGACATAGCGTGTACTGAACCGAAGATATAAACGAAATATCCGTAGAACGTGCACGTTCTACGCGTAATGGCCCCTATTGAGAAAGAGTTAAGGAATATTGACTCTCCAATCAAGGGTCCCAGGAAATTAGGAAAAGTGCAATTAGTTGGGAGAATTTTATTTGCTAGATATGAACCAATGCCAGTGAAAAAATTACAGTATCCGTTTGCTATTTCAATAAGATTTGTAATTGTCATACCGTTTGATTTAAATAAAGACGGTAATGAAGATTTTTTATTTTTCAAATTCATAACTTCATTAATAAGTTTCCATGTCTAAGTTTCTTCAGATCTGTTTTAGCAGATTCAAACTGGTTGTTATAATAAGTTTTTTTTGGCTATCCTAAGTAAATGATTCAACTTATTTTTGTATTTCTTCTATTGGGAATCATGAAGTGAAGTAGGGTTTGCGAGATATCTTTTATGCAACTTATTCTTTTTCCTGACGGAAACCAGTAAACCTTTAGTAAGCTTTGGCGATTTCAGGTGCCTAGATGAATTCCGCTTAGATATGTATAATGGAAAGCAGTTCTCGAAATGTTTGTGATATTCTATTGCAAATGAATCAAAGAGTTCATTCAGATCTTCTCCCAGTAAAAGGTTAGTCCAGTCAACCCGAGATAAGCTAGTTCGAAATGTGGTTAAATTCATTTCATTGTAGTCACATATGAAATATTTGTTTACATTTTTGCATCGTATGGTTTCAGTAGTGGAAAACACAAAGACAGGTAAATGATCAGATAAATCATTCAGAATAATTCCATTTACGATATTTTGTGAAGAACAGTTCGTGAATATGTTGTCAATTAATGTGGCTGAATGAGAAGTTAGTCTCGTAGGCTTATTAACAAGAGGAATAAACATGTGTGAGTCTAAAAACTCCTGCAGAAGTGGGTGTTCGTCATAGCGAAATAAATCTAGATTAAAATCACCCATTATATAGCATTGTTTATTGTCTTTGGAAATTATTGAAAGTATTTTATTAAAATATTCAATAAAACAAGTAAGGTTTTGGTTGGGTGGTCGGTAAACAGTTCCAACAATGATTGTAAAATAATTGTAAAATTTGCGAGATATAATAAATGCTCAGAAATATTCCGAATGAAAAAACATCTGAAGGGTTCTGAGGTTAGTATCTCGGAAAGCCTGATTTCTAAGGGTCAAAGTGCACTTAACAGCAGCTGACTCCCATCCTGAAACTTCAACCACTTAGTCCATGGATGTTAGAATAATTGGCCTATTGCACAAAGGTAGGAAAATCGTGCTGGAGAAACAAAAAGATATCAACAAGCTTCAAAGCCAAAGATAAGTATTCAAATAGTACATTTTCATCATTAATACATTACTGACTTTTTATAAAGCCATTTTAAATATCCTATTACAACATTCCAAACTGTGCTACTTGGCTTGACGTGTTATATTTTGCAGCCTCTAATTTGTTAGGTTTTGAATTCTAATTTGTGCTTATGTTATTTGTGTTTATTCATCCAATTGTCTTTTGTAATTGGATTTGTTTAAAATTTGTCCTTGCCTATAATTACTCTGTTTTATTCTCATTCATTGAATTATATTACTTATATATTGTTGTAATTTGTATGCTGCTCAGTTCTAATGACCAAGGAGCTTTGTAATGTATGCGCTAAATCCGTATGTTCAAACCAAAAAGCTATTTATTGTGAAGTATGCCAAGACTGGGTTCATCTAAAATGTACTTTTCTTAGTTATAATGACAATATTGAATTGGTGCAAGTTCCGATGACTGGTTCTGTAGCTTTTGTACGTATAGCAGATGCAATCCCTTTCAGTTTTCTTTCTGATGACGATTTCCTGTTAGAACTCCTTGAACATGATTCCAGACTTAGTCTTAACATAGACTCATTTAATGATTTATTATTCAATCCATTTTCTTTGAATTCTCCCATATTGAATCTAAATTATCTCGATCCAGACCAGCAATTTTTCAGCAGTTACATACCTAATAATACCAAGTACCTACTTGGAGATGAATTTATAAGTCTGTATTCTGATAAACACGACTCTTTCTCCCTCAACCATTTCAATGTCCGTAGTCTCCGACATAATTTCGATAAATTCACTGATTACCTACACCTTTTAAGTTATCCTTTTTCTGTAATTGGATTAACGGAAACTTGGCTATCTGATACTGAAGTTGACCAATGTAAACTCGTGGATTATAATATTATTATGTGTAATCGTATAAATCGCCAAGGAGGTGGAATTGCCCTTTATATCAGAGATAATTTGAACTTTAAAATAATTACCCTTACGAAAATTTCCTATAGGAATTCCTATAGGAAAAATTCCTATAAGAATTTGGGACAAAATTCCTATAGGAAAAATTCCTATAGGAAAAATTCCTATAAGAATTTTGTCCCAAATTCTTATAGAAATTTTTCCTATAGGAATTCCTATTTTTCCTACAGGAATTCCTATAAGAATTTTTCCTACAGGAATTCCTAGTCCCAAATTATTATAGGAATTCCAGTAAATGACACACAATGTTGTTCATCACTCTTAATTTTTTAATGCAAAAAATAGATATAAATATTAATAAATACTAATTAATATTGCAAATATAAATATTAATATGAGAAATTGGTTATACTAAACATTACAAATCAATTATAGTTTCCACCTATTGTGCCGTTCTACCTCCATGCACTGCCATATGATGCATCCTACTTTATTATTTTACTCTGTCTAACACCAGACTTTTTTTTACTTTGTCCAATGCCACATGATTTTACTCTGTCTAACTCCAGACAATTTTACTTGTCAAGGGGAGAACGCTGGCTCTGAATGGATTAACTAGCCTATCTTCCTATATATGTGTCTAGTTAACCCATTGAATTGCATTGCGCCCTACTTTATTATTTTACTAATTTACTCCGTCTAACGCCAGATGATTTTACTCATCAGAGCGCTAGTGCAATGGGCTAAACCATAGGTAATAACCATAATTGAGTGATATTTAAAGTTAAGTTTAAAACTGGCCTCAAAACATAGTCCTCAAATAAGTTCTTGTTTGCTTTTCTGTACTTTGCAACACTTTGCCTTCCCCATGCTGTTTATTTTTGTCCTCATGTGTTGACGAACCTCTGAGGCCTTACATCCATACTTTGTTGATGCAGAAGCTGTAAAAAGCAAATAAATTTATTTAATTCAAATGTGTCTTGTTAACCCATTAATTAAATGTGCCCAAATGCACCCAATTTATTATTTTACTCTAAGTATTATTTTACTGTGTTTATTCAAGCACATTAATAGAATAAACACAGTAAAATAACAAAGTACTAAAAGTAGGGCACATTGCTTCTAAATATGCCAACACAGCAGCTTTTGCAGTTTAATTTAATTATTAACCTTTCAATGACCAACACTCATTTTGATGAGTAAAATCATCTGATAATTAAATATCAAAGTACTGAAAGTGGGGATTGAGTGTTAGGGTGAATTGCATCGAAATGTGTTAACGCCAAACAATGCAAAATAGTCTGGTATTAGACAGGGCAAAATATTGAGCTTTGAAATGAATTTGTGAATTGGGTCTTAATGAGTTTACACATAACACAGGGAGACAGCAAGGTAACCTATCAAAGTTGTCCACTCTCTTTCACAAGTAAAATGATCTGGTGTTAGACTCTGGTGTTAGACAAGGTAAAATAAAAAAGTACTGAAAGTTGAGCACATTCATCTTAACGAGTTAGCATGAAATGTAAGTAGAGAGTCTGGTTAATTTGAATACCATCACATAGTTATGTTTCATTGAAAAACATGGATAGTTTTCCTGGCATTACACTAAGGCTAACAGATTTTAATACACTGACTGGTGCAAGACCTCTCACAATGAAATATCAATTTTAATTTAAACAATAACATATGAATAAATATCAGAA